GAGAGAGAGAGAGAGAGAGAGAGAGAGAGAGAGAGAGAGAGAGAGAGAGGTCACTGCGGATAAGAAGGGTGATTCTGCTGCGTCTTCCCTGCTGTATGGATAAGGCTAAAAAATGCTGAGAAGGTGAGCTGCGTATCTGATACTTCCTGAGCTGTTCGTTAATCGTGTGTGTGTATGTGTGGGTGTGCGTGCGTGGGTGCGTGGGTGCGCTTGCGCATGGGTGTGTGGGTGTGTGTGTTCATGTCGGTCGTCGATTGGGGTACAGGTTTTGCAAACGGATGGGCTGATTTTCCTTTGGGTGACCGGTCGGGCAATGGAGCTTGGACGAGAGTGGTAAGTGATTTTTCTCCTGAGTGATGGAAAGGGTTTCTGTACATCTTGTTGCCCTGGTAAAGGCCCACCTTCAGTCCGCCTTCATTTGCCCTTGCCACCCAGGCCAACTTGCTCCCACATTATGCAATGCCACGGTGTGCTGCAGAGGTACGTGAGCACACACACACACACACACACACACACACACACACACACACACACACACACACCATGTGTCAGAAGTCTATTAACTTCCTCGCTTCGGTTGATGTTTCCAGAGATGGACTGCTGAGGCCGATGTTCACCTTGTGACTTCCATCTCTTTTCTCTCCTTTCCATTCTATTCAAGGCTAAAATTATGTTTCCAGAGAGTGTACCAAACTGACCCCGCTCAATTGGTACACCCCCCGCTGAACTGAACTGTTGAAATACAGACCTGAGTTCAAACGCCGCTTAGTGCAGATGACTAAAATAGTTTACAATTCTGAACAGCCTAGGGCCAGTCAGCTCGATAATGTGATATATGAAGACCGTTGGCCGTTATTATAAAATAATATTAAAATAAAAACGAAAAAGAAATGCCGGAGCAATGGGATCTGGTGTAGTGAAAGTATGCTGTTCTTTGATGAGAGCCAGCAGTGTCGATCTTCGCTTTCCATAATTACTAATTAGTAATTACTGTAGGCGTTTGACATCTTGCTCTAGGCTACAAGCGGGGCCGCCCTGGTCACCTTGTTTGCCCAGGCGGCACAGCCGTGCAAGGACCAAAGAAGGTCCAAAAAAAATAAAAAATAAAAAATAAAAAGCCTATGGTATGCAGAAAAATAAACAGAACAGCTTTTGGCTCAGGGTCACGTCGAAATTCTTTACCGAATTTGAAAGAGAAAAAAAATTATATATATGTTTGACGATATAATAGGATATATATGAGGGTTCAGCCTCCTGATGAGTCGGTGACTCTCCGACGAAACAGTTTGTCACAGCCCCTTGTTTATTTTTGTTTTGTTTTATTTTATTTTATTTTATTTTATTTGGACCATTTCTCGATTTATGTGTGTCATCCTTGCGTAGGGGCCATTTGCTAATTTACCCTTCTCTCTGTATCGTTCCAATTTTTTTAATGGATGTCCCGAAGGAGTTGCGTTTTTTGCTCTTGTGCAAAATGTAATTTTAAACATTGGTCACCTTGTCTCTTCTGCAATCTCACCTCTTTTTTTTTTTTTTGTTTCCCTTTGTGTGTGTGCTATATGTTATGCAGTTTGGAGCTTTGGGGTTATAAACGAGTTGAAGAACTCATCTGGGTGAAGACGAATCAGCTCCAGCGCATTATCCGAACGGGACGGACAGGCCATTGGCTGAATCACAGCAAAGAGCACTGCTTGGTTGGCATAAAGGGGAATCCCCTTCTCAATCGGAATCTTGATTGCGACGTCATAGTTGCGGAAGTTCGAGAAACTAGTCGCAAACCGGATGAGGTAATAATGGGTTTCGAATCTTTCGATCCACTGCTCTTGACGTGCACAAAAGACAAAAATTGCGGAGGGGTATCGGGCCAAGTTATGGCGGAAGATTCACTCTCGTTTTGCACATTTCGAGAGTGCTCGAGATTTAGGCCAACGAATGAATTGCTGGCGCCTTGGCTCTGCTGTTCGGCGATGTATAGCCATCATGTCACTTTTGAACATTGTCTTTATCTTTCTGGCCCTTCCGGGGGCTGTGGAGAGGGATAGCTAGCTCCTAACATGATTGATTGCTGCGTATCGTCGTGCTCGCGTTTGGAGGCTAACCCGAATATGTTCCGCCCGAACGCGAACTACGCGCAAAACCCTCTGAACATGAACATAAAAAAATTAAAAAAATAAAAACAAAAAATCTGAAAAAAATGTATGTCATCTAGGCTACCAGAGTGGCCCGGGACCACTTGCCTGGGCGGGCAAAAAACGAATTAAAAAATAAAAAAAAATGAAAAATATTTTTTATTATTTTAATTTTGATTTTAAATTTGGTAAGGAATTTAGATGTGACCCTGAGGCAGAAGTTGTTCAGTTTAATTTTCTGCATAACATAGTTTGTTTTCGGATTTTTTGGATTCCCTTTTTTTTTTTTTTTTTTTTTTTTTTTTCTGGGGCCTTCTTTGGTCCTTGCACGGCCGGGCCGCCCGGGAAAATAGGGTGACCCGGGCGGCCCGGCTGGTAGCCCAGTGTCATGTAAAACAACAATACAAGCAACTTTTGCATTGGAGTCATGTTCAAATTCTTAGCCAAACGTGAGTTAAAAAAATAAAAATAAAAAAATAATTTGACTTTTTTTTTTTACGTAAAAAAAATTATGTTCGCCTGAACACGCTTGTGCGAACGCGGAGGGGTGCGAACACGTTCGCCGTGCTACGCAGATTCATTGTATCTGCTTCCATGTGCGATTCCTTAAGCATTTGCAGTTTGAGCTCATGACCTGTTTATCAATGGTTAGGTATGTGTACTGTTCAGCCACATGGGCTGGGTAGAAGGTCGTTTTCGAAATTCTATAGGAAAGACGGTTTCTGACCATCTTGTCTTTCGGGTGGCAACACCCTGAGGAGAAGGGCTTATTCACATGAGGACCTTTCTGGATGCACTTGACTGCAATTACAGCCAGATTCGCTCCAGAAAGTCACAGTGTGAGTACACGTTTGAAAGCCAACGCTGCCACCGACAATATTTTTTCCATCCTGATTTGAAGTTTGAAATTGTGATCTGTCGACAAAGCAGTTGCATGTGTGTACCATTCCTAGCGTTAAAGCCATGCCAACCATCGGCCGCGGGCTCCTTTCGGAGGCCGCCCGCTGTCAATTTAGGTTACCGACGGCGCGCAAGCCTCCCAAATTTTAGGGGAGGCTCAATCGGGACTCTCAACTTGGCTGGGGCCATGGACTGGTGATTCAAACCACGAGTACACCGGGATCTGGCGGCGCCGCACTGCGTGCCAAGCGTTGTAAAACCTGTCGTGGCGCACTTGTTGTCTTTTTTGGCGGGCGCCTCAGCTATTGTGGTCCGTAGCCGCGAGGTTCCGAAATTTTCGTAGGCAATGAAGAGAAACCCTGCGAGGCTGGGGCCGTGTACCGGTTGTTTGAACCACCAGCACCAGCCTGGTGGGTTAAGCAGTCTCGTTTGTACGTGGAGGCTGTAATTTTGATGTACAGGCCCCCCTGCGGCTGGTTTGATACGTGATCGATGGGAAAAGAGAATTGCAGTGAAAATCGCCCGTCTGTGCTGTGGTGGTTAATGACTTCGACAACTCGGAAACCAGCAGGCAGCCGCTGCACATGTACTCCTGCTGCGTCGCCCTCTTCGTCTTCTCCTCCTTCTTTACCCTCCGCTTCTTCATCCTCTTTACTCTTCCTCGTCCTCTTCCTCTTCATCATCCTTCTCTTCGATTTCTTTGGGGAGCATTTTTTGATCTAATGTCGTGAAGGTCGTCCTTTTGCAGTGTTTGGCTGACCATTTTTCCCCCCTCTTTTTTGGGCTACATTGTTGGTCTAACATGTTGAAGCTTGTGCTTTTGGTGGCGATGATTCTGGGTTTCATCGGTCTTTGCTGCTGTCTGCCCAGCTCTACCCGTTACTTGAGCGTATCAGCCCTCGGACCCGGAAACTCGAGCTGTTTGCAAGGATGCATAATACGCATGCTGGGTAAGTTAACGTCTTTTTCTTTTTCTTTTTCGTGTGTTTTTCCTCTCCAAACCCTCTCTCTCATCTGTACCTCCCTGAGCGCTCTCTGGTGGCAAGGTCACACTTTGCACTTGCACTGATTGAGAAATACGAGCGTTCATCTTCTTCAGTTCTTCTTCTTTTTTTTTTTTTTTTT